AAGCCCATATGCGCACCATAGTGTAAATCCTTGTGGTTTTTATTGAATTTATTTAATTGGGTTTGGACTAACCTTATTCTAATTGAATCAAATAAATCTTAAGGCCCATAATAAATGCTAGGCGCAATGCCGAAGGATTGATCCTACATGGATTGACTTAGCTTAAATATATCTATTATATGTACTTGTTGTGAGTTTAATAAAGGTGAAAGGTGAGCCACACGTCCATACGCGTGTCACGACACGTAAAAGCTTACGTAGCCAGGATACGACATAAGTGGTACTATGCTAAGGAAGGTTTTGCAGCTTCAAACTTTTGTCTTTGGTCTATGTTTCTCATCCGTGGAAGTGACAAGGGTGGGAGTAGAAAAGGAGTAGGTGGCATGCAGAGGCGGACCCAGAATTCAGTCACGACTAGGGCTAAATTTCAAAGGTGAAATACCAATCGCTACACCATAGTCTATATGACTATATGTGTGTGTGTGTGTGTGTATATACTGGTCGAGAGCAACATGATGCTAAAGTTCTTGTCCTCTTCGTCTTCTAAACAAATTAAGAAATCTATAAAATTATATTTTAATTGGAATCAAAAGTTCAAGCTCTACATAGAAATGACAAAATTGAAATTTTAAATCTAGAAGTTAGAATCAAAATTAGTAGAGAATTGAAATAAAGAGAAGAAATCCCTTCACTCTTCCTATTCTAGAGTTCCTGCTCTGCTAGCGCGGGGCTCCGGCCGGACGACGGCACAGCGAAATTGGAAACTGGAAATTTGGAATCAAAATTAGTTTCAGGTCTAAATCTAACAAGGGAAGCTCGCTCAGTTGCTCTGCTCGCATGCAAGGAAGGAGCCGGGCAGCCAGCAGCGTCGTAGCGGGTAGTGGGCCGGCGCCGGGCTGAGGAAGGAGCCGCACCGGCAGAGCGCAGAGCGGAGGGGGCGAGGCCATGGAACCGGAGCGCGGAGCGGAGGGCTGGAGGGGGTGACGGGCGACGGCGGCGGGCGGTGCAGCGTGGGCGACGGGCGGCGGTGGCAGTCGCGAGTCTCGCAAGCGAGCAAGCTATGGAGCGAGAAGGCAAGCCCCGAACAGCTCTAGTGCTCTGTTGCCCTACTCTGTTGTCTGGCCTGCTTGTGTTGGGCTTCTTGATGGGTCAAAAACTGAAGACCTGCTCTCTTGTTACATGGGCCACGACTAGGGCCATGGCTTGGGCTGCCCTAGTGCTGGGTCCACCCATGCATACAGACAGAAGAGAGAGAGAGAGATGGAAAGAAGAAAATTCCCATTTCTAATATTAAGTATAAGTATAGATGATTAGATGTATATGACAAGGCCCTACGATTACACCAACCACCCTTGATCATGGCGTGGTGAGAAAGGATCATGTTTTCATCCCATTTCCTATTAGTTTGAGATCATTTGCAATAGTTCATGGTCCGTGATCACGAAGAATACCTAGCCATCAGAGTGGATGCAGGACTTGTAGGTGAACAGGAAGCAATTGCATCTCATCAGACAAGTCCGATAAACAACTGTTGCGGTTGTGGACTCATGAATTGTGATTTATCTATATCTATAGTTTTAAACCCCGCTAGAGTCTTATCTCAACATGTAAGTTGTCCATCTCAGCAACACATTGTCATATGCAATTACAGTCCACTAGCACATGCAATTATGATATCTACATTAGTGAGACACATTATGCACTAACTAGCATTTAGTTGTCAATATCAATGTGCTATTCATCCACTATATTAATTTATAATAGTTTATCTCTTCGTATAAGTAATTATATGTAATCTAATTTCATTCTAAATTATCTGTAATTTCCACAGCAACATGCGGGGTATGCTTCGGGTATGCTTCTAGTTATACATACAATACACCGCTTGTTGCAATGGTCGTCCATACTCCTAAATGAAAGCCTAAGCGTGCTCTTGCCTTCTACCAGAAATATGAAGCGAGGGAAAAGCACCCACGTATGTGTATGCCATTCTCATTTCTCAATGTTACACACAAGCAGTAGCAGCTGCCAGCTTAGAATAATGATCGCACAGAGGTTTTCATCATGACATCTCATTATGCAAATTCTTTCCTAAGTATCTACATTTATTAAAGCAGCTCCATCAGATCTCCTTTCTCCTAAAATTTTCTACAGGGATGGTTGCTCTAGCATATTGAGAAAAATACAACATTATATCTCCCACATGACACATGGTACTCAGATGTGAAAGGACCGAGCATGTCTCCTAGAGTGGGGTGAATAGACTTTTGTGACAATTACAACTTAAAAGCATAAGTTAGTTCAATACCAAGTTTCTTGAAGTTCGAAAAACTAAGGCTAGATTTATTTCGTCTTCTAAAAAGTGCTTCTACTGCAAAAAAAACGTAACACTAATCAAACAGGTGGAACCTGAAATTGCTTTTCGAGAAGACGCTGCTTTTTTGCTTAGTATAATTTTTGGAGCACCCTAGACCCTACTTTCGGTTCCTGCTTTCTGCTTTTCCAAATGGGTGGACATAGAGAGATGTTCCATAATTGTTTCAAGGGAGATACAAAGAGGGGTAGGTTTCATAGTTGTTTCAACCAGTGCTTACAAGTTTTTCACAACACATAGCTCACAACAACTTTTTCATAGCTCACAACAATTTTTTTCACGTCTCACAACTGAACCAAACAAACCCTAAATCAAAGTAAAATTCCTTTCTAATGTCCACACTACAAGCAAAGAGTGTTAGTGAGGCGTATGAATTGGTATTTGAGGGTTGCTTAGAACAGCAACAATCTTCTTCCTTCCAACTTATGCTTCACCCTTGATGTTGCGGGAGCTTCCCACTGGTTGTGCACTAAAGTTTACTTCACACAAACAAGCACAACCCAATAAGATCGAGACAAACAAAATAAAAATGCAAAGCACAAAGGAGACAAGGATTTGTATCACCGATGTTTGAGTTCCCACTTAAAACCTACATCTCAGTTGACGAAGTCATTGGTGATCATTTGTAATCAAATTCTATCTAGGTTGCTCTCAAATCATTTTCCTCGATCCACTATAGTTTGATCTTTTACCTTTCGGAGGCAAGATCGAAGCATTCACAAACTTATTTGTGGCCTCCCACAAGCTCGGAAGCTAGCCGGACGAATCCTAACCATCTAGGAGGTTTGACCTCCTAGAGTAACAAATGCTCAATGAGATCTTTGACTTGCCACGAGTGCTCAAGGTTTTGACTTGCTCTCTTTTTATCACTAAGTCAATCTCACTCAACCCCAACACTTTGATTTTGCAATAATCACTCAATCTCACAAATAGAGGTTGGGGAGTGCTCTCACAAAGCTTAGAATATTTATAATAACCACCAGAATCAGCAACCATCAAAGGAGAGGGCTTGAGGTATAAGTAACTCCACCATTAAAAATTAGTCATTACTAATCCTTGGAGACAGACATGTAATATAGACCATTCGCTATAACCTCAACTAGCCGTTAGAAAAATTAAGCCTCGGAAATTCTAATCATCCCTAGAAACTCCAACCCTAAAAGACAGAGAACCCATAATCAAAAATTCCATCAAAAGTTTCGATCTAGAGAGAACCCCTCTTGAAAAATCCAAACCTCAACAGTGTTGACAGTTCATACTGGACCGTACGGTATGGCATATTAGACTATCTGGTATGTAGGCCCTATAGCACACACAAGTTAGTATTTGGGTGGTTCTCTCTTAGATTTCACATGAGTTTTCTTGTGCGCTAGAGACTTCTCAATTCTCATCATGTTGCATCCCTCTTAATAGTATGGCATACCTATGAACTTAAGTTTAAATGAAAACCAAAATTCAAATCGATTGAGCTTTATATCTTCACAAATGTCATTTCTTCTCAATTGTCTTCTCAGGAATTGCAACAAACTTGTCTCCACCATGCTAAGCAAAGCCCACTTAAGCGTGTAAATCGAACCATTTCAACACATATAAATTCACTACATGGTTAAAAGTCACTTCTTCATATGACTCAACAATGATTGATTCTCCTAAAGATATGACTCTTCATACTTGATTGGTGCCTCGATTCAATGCAAGTAGTATCTTCTTCATCTTAGCCATGGTGCCATGGCACCCAAGCTGTTGTTTGTCCATCTACCTTGAAACCGTTTTCTTACTATCTCTGCTCTATTAAGCCACCCTCAACTCACATTCATGCAGTTACTCTGTGCTTAGAGTAAATCAGAAGAAGCTATTTTTCTTCTCCCAACCCCCTATTTTATTTTCGAGAATCACTTTACATAATTAGCGTATGAATAATTTTTTGGTAAAGCTTCTCCTAGATTCAGCCTAGAAACTGCTCTAGGAGCTCTACCAAAATAGACCCTTAAATAACCAACTTTGTATGGGGAAAATATCTTAGGCCCTGTTCGCTAGAGCTTATCAGCCAGAATCAGCCCTACTTTTCAGCCATGGTAAATGTTTTTCTCTTACAACAAATCAGCCCTATAAATCAGCCGCAGCAGCAATAAGTCTTGCCGAACAGGGCCTTGGTTGCTCCCCTTTCTTTACGGAAGAGAGGAACTTTTGTGGAATTCAGAAAAAAAAAAAAAGAAAAGGGGATTGAAGAGGGGTTCGGTTGGAGCTCATTTCTTTTACTGTCAATCTCCTTTATCACTAATTATAGAGAGAATTGTATTTCTTTAATCCGGTGGAAATGCTCTGATCCTAACAATAAATACAGATATTTATTTAATCCAAAGGGTAGGGTACCGATTTACAGTATTACACATACTTCTGGACTGAACAAGTTTCCACAAATTTCTCAAGCACAGCATTGCTTACATCCAAATAAATACCCAACAAATTACACACAATATGCGTAGTATGCTCGTTTTATTGGAATTGGAAATAACTTAAGACCAGTCGAGGTATAACTTAAAACGCAAGAACGAGCTCCCAAGTGCTGAACAACTGTACTGATGACTTAATTTTGAGGTCGACGCTGAGATTTGTAGTCCGAGTTTTATGCTTTCTTTCTGAAGACAAGCCTGCCCAGAAGATTAGCACGCCGCTTCTTCTTTTTTGTGTCAACAGAAACGGGTGGTCGGGGTGACTTCGGGACCGTCGGACGAACAATAACCAGGGTCGAAGCACTTTTAGCAGACTGTAGACTTCGGCCAGAATCTTGCTCGTGTTCTTTCTTCTCAGTTGCATTTGCATCAGGCTCACCGTGTTCTTTCTTCTCAGTTGCATCAGGCTCAGCTGACGGGGGTAGGGTACCACATTTCTCTTTATCTGATGGATCTGTATTTGCCGGACTTTCCAGAGCATGCAACTGCTTACTTAGATTTGCCATTGTTTCTTGGCATTCTGCAAGTTTCCTGGCTGCTGCAGATATTGCTGAGGTCTGCAAGAGCAAAATTCATTATAAATTTTTCAGTCTGCATCTCTATAAAAGATGGGATGTTCAGGGAATCATCGGAAATGTCCTGGGAACTGCCATTTTTCTCTGTGCTAAATTCTCGTAGACAAGATCTGTTTGTGTACAGATAGACTTTGTGCTTGCAGAAAGGAAAGAGGTCAGGATAAGGACATTCGAGATTACCGTTGTGAGCTGGTTTCCCTCTTCTTCTGATAACTTGTGTTTGCTCCCGTCAAAAGCAGCACTGCATCACAAATAATAGGAATTGTTTATGGACGCTATACTTGTGCAAATAATAACATGATACAAAAATAGTAAAATAAATACCTTTTTGCCTCACAGCATACAAGATGCTGTTCCTGACAACTATCACCCTGCTCTTGTCTAAGAGCCACTAAGTCTTCAACAAGCTTAGAAGTGATCAAGTCAATCTGAGAATAGTTTTCTAATATTACATCAGGGATTAAGTCTTCAGTTGTTTCAACCGATCTTTGTCTCTCTTGTTGAGTTCCTAAAACCATTTTTGATTTTGTACTCTTCATTATATCTTTTTCATGAATGCTTAATGTCCTTTGGGACTCATTTCCATCAGAATTATTTGTTATGTAGTCCACAATGTCTAGTTCATCATCACATAAAAGGCATCGGCTTACTATCCACTCTAGGATCAAGCAAAGTTCATCAGTAAGCCTTTCAAGATTAGCCTTTCCATATAATACGTCACTGCAGACATGAACTAGATGCTCAAGTCGCAAAGTGAGTTCAGACTTTTCATGAGAAAGTGATCGAAAACTCATAACATTGTTTTTGGTAGATCTTTCAGCCATGCTGCTGATTCTTTCTATCAGAGTAGCCACCATTTTGTCTATTTCTGCCCTGTAATAGGAAAAGTGTGCACCATCATTTTCTTTGGCAGATATCTCATTCTTCAGTGCATGTGTTACTTCATCAAGAATGACATCTACACATATCTTACTCCCTTGATGCTTATGTCTGATTACATTCAAAACGTCATGAATCCATTCGCCATAATTGTCAGAGAAACCATCAGGGGTGAGCTCTCTGTGACATGTGTCTGAGACAATCATTTTTGAGTCTGTATTAGGTGAATCCAGACACTGATGTGGGGCACTTGAAGGTCTGGATATCCACTCTGGTTTCTCAATATCCAGAGGATCAACAAGCAATTGCATGTCAGATCCTGTGATTCTTCTGCTCCTACTCCTAACCTTAGACACCTGTTGCTTCCCAGATATTGAGCGTTCCGGCTTGGCGAATGCACTCACCATTGGTTTTGGAAGGTTATTCTCTGTGGAACCGTGAGTACCAGACAACTCTTCATTCTGCCTTTGCAGTATTGACAGCTTGCATGCCTCGTCTGCGTACTTCGACAGCACAAAGTGCAGGTCGCTCTCCTTCTGGGCCAACAACTGCCTGAGCTGTCTGTTTTCATCACCCAATTCCTGCAGCTTGACTAGGTGACCTTCAGACATGGAATGCCTCGGCTGCTGTGGCTGCACTGCTGCACCTGCACGGGGCCTTCTTGCTCCATTCTCGGCAGCACCAGAACCTTGTCGCTTGACCTCATCTTTCATTTTTGCCAACGCCGCAGGACCTGGCGGACGCTTCTGAACCATGGTCCGCAGCCTCTGGCATTCTGCTTCTAGCGCAGTGATCTTCTTCGTGCTCTCCTGCTGCTTCTTCCGAGCAGCGTCTATTGATTTGAGGTCATACTCTCGCTCCTTGCTCCGAATCTCAAGCTCCTCCTGAAGCACGCGCACCTCGGACCTGAGGGAGGCGCATTGTTTCTGTGAAAACTCAAGCCTTGCGGTTGCATCGGTCAACTCCTGGTCTGAATGTGCTTTGGATTCTTTCAGCTCTTTGATCAGCTTCTCCTTTGAGGCAACAGTGTTGCAAAGATTGTAGTTTTCTGTAATGACCTTCTCAAACTGTTTGTTTGCATCTTCGAACTTCTGCTGTAAATGTAGCGTCTTCTTCTGCTCAGAAGAGATCTTATTGGTTGCTTCAATTATAAGCCGCTCTTTCTCGTCCCTGACAAGGAGCAGCTGCTCCATGCAGGACCTCAGAGCATCCCCTGTCTCATCCATTCTTCCTGCTGGATACTTCTTCCTCTACGAAGTGTAGCTATCAAGCATATTCTGAAACAGCAGAGTTAGAAAGTTACGGATTACATAAGTTGCTGTTGCTATCAAACAAGGTTTACTGACAAGTTTAATTGAAACCTCCCAAAGTTACCATCTTATTCAAAACTAATACTAAAATACAAGTAAAATCCGTTTTGTAACGTTTACACACAAGGCAGTCTACTCCATAGTGCATAGCATAGTGCATAGTGATGTACGACAAAGGCCTATTCGGCTAGTATTAACAGCCGGCTGAAACTGTTTTATTGTGAGAGAAAAATACTGTAGATTTTAGCTAATAAGCCGGCTGATAACTTCAATCAAACAGTTATTCAATCCAAGATGAAAAAAACACTCATCCAATCTGAAAAAAACTAGCGGCTGCCATGACAATAAAAAAGTGCATGCTCTACCCCAATTTCAAGTATGGCGAGGTCCAAATCCATTCGTAGTATTGGATATCCTGTCGGCTAGACTATGAAAGTCATGGCTTCGGGAGTCTCTTACGGACGAGCGTGCCCGAAGGCTCCGCCGATCTATCGCGCGCTGGCTATCAAGACGGTGAGCCGTGAGCGACGCGAACAAGCATGTGCAGCCTGAGCCCTGAGGGAGCAGGAAGCTCCTACCACTGAACTGCAACCAAAACCGCGTGCTCCTGCTTCCGCCATACCCGGCGTCAAAGACGTGGAGCCGTGGCGCGTCCGTCCCGTGCGGGAGGTGGCACTCAAAGAAGCCTCGAAAGCCATTGCCGTGGCCTTCTCGGCGGCGGTCGCAGTAGAGTAAAAGAGGATTCTGTTCTCGCCGCTTTGGGAAAACTGAAAAGGAACCATACCAAGCTTTCCTCGCAAAAAGAAAAAGAAAAAAAAGAACCGCACCAGGCTTACAGACTCGATTGGAAGTGGGCCTGTGCTGATGATGGCCAGAAGCCCAGAAATAAGATGAGTGGGCCTAAAATCCGATTAGTCGGTATCTCTAAATACGGCTACTTTTACAAATTCCACCCTATACACCTGTATCTATATTTATATCTATATATCTGTCTATCTTATCACGGAGCGAAGGATTGAAAATCATTTGTCGCCGAAAAAACTTTCTACCCACTGATTGACAAGTGGACCTAGGACAAGACGACATGAACATATGAAACACCCTTGTTTCACCGTGCGGACGACTTCTCTCCCTGTTTTTTTTCACCGACGAAATCCTTACCCACCCGCGTACCCATACCCTCAGCGTCGCTCCGCCTCCGCAACCGCAAGGCCACGCCGCCAATCGCTCCCTCCCCGTCCGCTCGGTCACTCCCCTCGTCCGGGCGTCCACGACGGTTACCTCGCCCTATCTTTCGTCGCCTGGGAACCGCGCTGCCCTTTCTCCCACTCGCTTCGACCTTTGTTCCGTATCCCGTGAAGTCGCTGGATCCCTGCGCCGGCGCCACCGCGTCCTCGCCCTGCCGGGTTGTTGCGGCTGCGAGGTCGCCTCGCGCGCATCCTCCGTCTGCCGTGCCGTCACGGTCGCGCGTGGCCTCTTCCTCTCCCTCGGCGCGGGCGGCCCCCGGCGTGCCGGCCTGGGCACGGACGCTCCGCCGGTCCCTAGCGCACCGGCACAGCGGGCACGGCACGAACGGGCCTCGGCCGCCGGCGTCCCGGTGCCGGCCTCGGCCTTGGGGACCGTCGTCGCCGCTCCCCTGCGTCAAGGCCGCCGTGAGTTTCTCTTGCACTTTTCCTCTTTTTTTCTCTTCCATATTTGTTAATGTTTCTGCATGCCTCCTTAACCTCTGCATTTTCTTCACCCTCTTTCCATATCTCTGGTGCATCTGGCCTACGGGGTCCGTTTGGAGTTGATTGTTGTTTGGCTAGGGTTATGGCAAGAATGTGGGTGAATTGGCTTTTCGATTTTTGCCCTTCCTCATGCTGCACCGTTCGATTTGGACAGGACCATTTTTCGATTTGGGATCTGCTCCTCTATTTTTCAGGTGCTTTTCATGTTTTCTCCTGGATCTTTGTGTCCTGGCCTTTTGGATTATGCCATCACTTCGTAATGTTTTGTTTGATTTGGACAGCACATTCATGTGTGCATGCCCAAGGGAGGATTCTGAGGCATGTCATTGAATTTGGTCATAGTACATTCCTCAATTCACTTTGTCAAATATATATGTGTCCACCCGTCTGACCAAATACATTTCTTTGGTTCTTTATCAGTGGAACTTAGATTCTCTGGACAAGAGAGAACTAGCTGGAAAGTTGGCTAAACATAATGCCATTGAGCTTGCTAAATTTTCTAGAAGAGTTACAGGTCAGCAGCCTGCATACCCATGTTCCTGGCAGACTTTTTGAATTTATTGATTAGTGATAGGGGGTTAGGACTGAGATATGTCAGTGTGGTAGTTCTAACCCTTCAACTCAAAAAACACGAAGGGTTAGGATTAAAATCTTTGTATCCTAACTCTTATTCCATCTCTATATCCTCAATCTAAGTGCCCTTTTGTTGGTTTAATTAATAAATCTCAAAAGTCACTTGTCTTTATAATTTACTTCACTGTTAATTTAATCATCTAACTCTCCTACAAGCACCAAATTTTGCTAGCAGCAGCACAAAAGTGAAGGATTAGGAATCGGTGCTGCGTAGGATGAACTATTTCAGATTCAGATTCCATTGTCACTGAAATTTGCGGCACAGGTTCCACTGTGGATGCATATATTGTTGTGCAATTATGGACTAATTGTGTATGTTTTGTTATTTCGCTATATAGAAGGATCATGCATTCGGATATAAGGGTTGTAGTTTAAAAATCTAGATGGTTGTCTAGCTAGGTCTCATCAAGAAATGCACATGTTGATTATTGTATGGTTTACTTTTGTCTAGAAAAGCAAACACACAGTTAGCTCCTTCGAAGATTGAGGGTGGATTATATACTAAAACACAGTAACTTAGAAAATATATGTTCTGAGGATCCTCCCATTTAATCATGTTAAATTTCATAAAAAAAGCTCATTAACTTTGGATTGATTATTCTTGAACCTTTCTTTAATCAGATTTTCCAATTACCTCGCGATAGTGATGTGATTGGTTGGTTTGACCACAGGAGTTCTCTTCTGATAAAGCGTTCGGGTTTTAGATTCACACAAAAGGAATCATAAACAAAGTAAGTTTCTTACCCTGGTCTGATGCATGCTTTGTAACTGGAGGAAGAAGTGATCATGTTGTTATAATTTGGAAAGACAAAGGTGATTCATGTTAGCCCAAGAGAGTTTATAAGGATTTCCATTCTTCTGCTGTCACGGGTGTTACTGGATTGCAACAGAAAAATAAACAATATTATCGGTTCGCTGTGCCAAGAGGATAATAGGGTTTGGTGATCTCTCTGCTGAAAGGACAGAGTTCAACAACCTAATTGATAACAAATGCATGAGTGTTTTAGCAAATCATGCGATTTCAACTTATACATGGTGCAGACAGGGTAAGTGAAATTAAAAAAAAAAACTATTGTTTCTTCAATAATGGGTAGGTTTTTAGCTGTTATCTTTAACCCTTGAGTTAATCTAAACCTATTCTTGCATTATAACTTACAAGTTCAATATACTGTTCAAGCTGTAGTTTTACAAAGAAAACCATTCACTAATAATTGAGATATACAGTTATTATGTAGAGTCCTAATCAGTAGTACTTTTTTTATTTTTTGCGGTGCGTGCTTAAACTGTCTTATCTGTTTCCTCGTGTTGACAGGACAGCTGCCCTTGTTGATGTCAGGGTTAGGCAAATTGAGGTTCATGCATTTGGTTGGAAGCAAGAGAGCAGCGAGTCCCAGTCAACTCTGATTAACCAGTCATGGTCTCTAGATGGCTGGTACATGTCATCTGGTTCAGCAGATCCTATGATCCACATCTTCGAAACACAGCAGGTTTGTTTCCTGATCCATGAAACATTGTCATATCTCGTATAGTATTCTTATCAAAACATAATAAGTGAATAGCGATTAAAAAATGGATTTGAATTGCTATAATTCCTCTAGATGGCTGGTACATGTCATCTGGTTCAGCAGATCCTATGATCCACATCTTCGAAACACAGCAGGTTTGTTTCCTGATCCATGAAACATTGTCATATCTCGTATAGTATTCTTATCAAAACATAATAAGTGAATAGCGATTAAAAAATGGATTTGAATTGCTATAATCCCATCGCTAAATTGTTGTTATGACAAACTTGATCTGCTGATTCTCCATGGAAGGTTGTTGTCATAATAATCTGCCTACTTTTATCTTGAATTTTTGGATCATGCACCAGATTTTGTAATTCCACATATATCGATTGTCTTGCCTGGGTGTGTTTGAGCAATTGAAATGTCTTTTCATATCCAAAAAAACATAATGCCACGAAAACTTAGGAATAGAAAGTTGTTATATGTTATCTGTGAAGTTGATTTACTTATTCACAATTCAGTTTCATGATTTTTAAGATGTGATGCATTTTTTTTATAAATGACATAATGATGAACTCCATATGAGGGAGTACCATTTTGATTTGTATAGATGGGACAAAGAAGTTACCACTTACCATTAGTATGTTGTTATTCAGGGATGATGATGGCTTAAATTTGTGGTGAGCCATTTGTACATATAAATTGATAAATTGTTCAGTTTTTGGCTGGCATCAGTTTCCATTTTTTTTGGATAAAAGGCATCAGTTTCCATTGAACCAATTTCCATTCTTGTTTATTAGATGCATTATGCATATCTGATATGCAATAATAAATTAATAAGCATGAGACATTAAACACTGGTCCAGTGCAGAATCTAATTCTGTCAACTTCCCATTATTTTCAGGTCCTTGCAACAGATGGCTTGAATGCTTATTTGAACAACAGAACAAGTATGTACCGCATTGAGCTGGACCCTCAACTTAAGCTCTTGTTGGAAGGCAAATTTCCATGCTTTGAGATGTTGGATCCTTCCATGTATATCATATGCAGGCATATAGTAGAAAACCTGGACGAAGTTCATCAATGCTGATAACGATTCATGTCAATTGGATACAATATGTTTAGAGATCTCGTGTCAGTATATTGCATAGTTTGAGAGAAGAGTTTAGTAAGCCTCTTAAGATAAAATTTTAATCAAGATACAAAAAAAGGTCAGTAGCAAGTTGAGGTGTATAGGCATTGAAACGTTCTTAATATAAAATTGTAAGATACATGAGAGGTCAGTTGCTCAACGAAAATATTTTAGGTAGGAAGGAGTCTTTTAGGTGGATATATAAATAGTTTGTCTCATGTTTTGAATTTTTGACACCATGTAAATTATTCAAAACGATGTTGAAATTGACTTTTCAAAATTTTATATGTTTTTCTTTTTGAGACATTATTTTTAAAAGGCATGTGCGTGTCACTCGTGCATGTCTACTAGTATGTATATAGGTCTAATAAAATATATTAAACGCCACATGCTCCCATGTCTCTGTTAGGCCAATCTCGATAGGGTTTTATAAGAGTTTCAAAGACATTAAATAAGCTTATGTGGTATAGTATTAATGAAAATAGATATGATAAAAGTTTTTGGGATGAAATAAGTTTCATGTAGATAAAACTTGTCTACACTGTTTTCAATACGTAGAAGTCTTGGAAACGGTGACATATACCCACTGAAACTGGCCTTAGATATCGTCTAGCTTTGAGCACAGCAATTAAGGTGGAGTGGAAAAGAGTTAGTGTGTTTTGTTTGGTGCCTCGCCTGGGAATCACGGCCAGGTAAGCACATCCTCCAACTAAGCGTTTGAAATTGAACGCCTAGTGTTGTTGTCTTTCCAGGATTGAAAAGCAAACACACTCTTAGAGCATCTCCAGTATACTACCCAAACAAGTCTCCTGCTCTTTTTTTGAGTAGTGGAAAAAATTCCTCTCCAATAAGCTACCTACTTGGCCCCTCAAATTTGTTTGGCCATCCAAATTCCTCCCCTCATTACCCATTCTTGTTGGGCAAATTGATGACCCCCCCTTATTTTGTTGTTCGGCAGTTTCCCTCACGCCAACGCCCAACCACCCTTGCTCTCGCCCGACATCAGTCGCCGCCTCCTCATGTGCCCGGCAAGCCTCACCTCCAGCCCATAACCAATGGGCCTCCTCGGCGGTCAATCCTCGGCTTATTGCCATCCCTCACGCCCTCCCGGCTGCTCGGACTTGCCCTTGGCGTAGCTCCTTCCCGGTGGCGCTCTCCTCTCCTGGCGCGACGCCCTCTCAGCACACCATCTTCCTAGTGTAGTCGAGGGAAGAAGAAAAGAAGATAAAAACAATCTCGTTGGCGAGCGAGTCCCACTTGTCATATAGAAATAGGTGCTTTGGTTTGAGTGCTATTGCTGAAGTTGGAGTAGTTTTTGAGGGCCAGAAAAGTAAAGAGGAGCATTCAAATTAGAAGTAGGGGCTTGTTTTAGGTAATACCGTTGGAGATGCTCTTAGTGCGTAGAAAATGAGAGAGAGAGAGAGAGAGAGAGAGAGAGAGAGAGAGAGAGAGAGATGTATTAGAAAAAAAGAAAGATGTTTTAAGAAGTGAGAATAATAACTAATTTAGGATAAAGTGTAGAAGGCTAGGAGGTAAGTATTATGGCATTGAGGAGTTATGTTACTGCGGTTCATAGCATGGCAACTGAACAAGCTTCCATATGGGGTGAAAATTCTGCTAAGTCGTTCCATTGCTCTACGTGATACTCCATGGAACTGATCCAGCCCGTGCAAGCTCGTGCACATGTGTGTTTTGAAAAACTCCTCGTATTCGTAATATTTCACGATGATGGGTGCGAAAAGCGAGAAAATGAACTGAAAGGAATGTATGAACATCAGTCTAATCCAATGACCAAACGCGTGAATCAATTTACCCCGACGGGTCAATCTGAGAACTCGCTGAACCAAAATCAACACGAGCTCAAGAACGAAGAACCCAGAATAGAAGAACAAGAAACGCATCGTCAAGAAGAACAGTGAAAAGATAGCATGTAGGGGATGTACCTTCTTGCAGTGCCTCCCTTGATGAACAACCTTCAGGCTGCAACTCCTGATGATGAACCGAGAATGCAGTGGAAGACACCGGAGAAAACACATATCCAGCTCCAGCTCTATAGCTGCGGCGTTCTTTTCTACAGATAACTGCCGGCACGCCATTTGTTCGATTGGTGGGGGCGAGTTGGGATGTACAAATCCGGGCGTCACCTCAAGCCAGCCGAGGTTTCAAAGCTACAGCGCGGATGGGCCTTTCGTGAGGCGAACGCGCCAGCGGTATGAATCGGGGGGAAGCAAGCAGCAGCGATGCAAGCATCTGCCAAGGTCCGGCCCGGCACAGTTTCCAGTCGGGGGCTCGGAGCAGGCTAGCGCGCGCCTCTCTCTGAGGTCTGAGCGTGACGCTTCTTGCCACCGTCGCTTTTCGCTAGCTGCGCCGTCTACGGGGTGCGGTGGACCAGCGAAGCCAGCAACCTTCTCCGGTTATCTGCTGTGATGTGATGGTGTCAACGAACCAGTACTGTACTGTAAATTACTTGTTAGAGCATCTCTAATAATTTGAAGTTATTTGAGTAAAAGTTGTTTTCTATATCTCTGTACTCTTCAATAGTTTTTTTAAAAATCATCTTTGGAAATCCAATTAAAGAAATTATTAAAAGTTTTTTTTTACCAAAATCTTTATTCCTATAAGTTAGAGGGATGTAAAGAGTTTTGTAGAGTTGCTCTTGTAGAAAGCTTTGTGATTTTATTCTACTGTATGTAATTGCCTTCTAAGTTCCAACTGTAATTTGTAGTGCACGAGATCTCTATAGAAAAAAAAATTACTAAATTGCTTTTTTGGTACTCAAAAACAATTGCAACATCGTCAATGAACATCGTCAAAGAAAAAGACACAATTGCAATTTCGAAACAACTCTCTCCACTTTTGCAGCTACTCGAAAGGAATCATGACTGGGGAGTGTTTGGTTCTCCGCTTTCACCCACCAAAACAATGCTCTCAACTTTTACAAATACTTGAAAGGAATCGTGACCACGGGAATGTTTGGTTCTCTGCTTTCACTAGCCACATCACATGTGTGGTGCTGCTACAACAAGCTTAGGCACTGCTTGGTTAACGAAAAGCGTGTTTGACAGCTACATAGAAGCCAAAGTAAAATCTGCAAGTTTTTTGCCACGTTATGTGGCACGGAATTTCTACGCCACGCTCCACGTCGTCGCTGCCGCACCTCTACGATGTGACAGGTGACGGCTGGCATCCAACCATGGCCTGTGTAGAGAGGGAGAAAAGAAAGAGTATGATGTCGTGTATTGTACATCATTGACTATATGTTGGAGCTAGCTTTTCAGGAAGGTACTAGAGATAAGAGAGAGAGATATTAGAGCATTTGATCCCCAAACATGCTCTTGATTTTTTGCATCAAATTTGAGCTCAAAATAGAAAAATAATAAATTAAAGATCAAATTTAAGTTGTAATAAATGGAACCTTGAAGCTCACATTCAGTAAGCAAATAGGTCTAAATTGCTGAATCTTGATCGTCTCTTGACATTTTGGTAACAATGTTATAATTCCGAAGTTAAGAGAAAAAAAGAGAGATCACCTTTGTAAAAGTTATAAAACATAGTCATCAAATCAACTTTTATGACTTCCTAGAAAACATGATAAAATCAACAGGAAAACCATATGAGCCTGGAGCCTTATTGTGTTCCATGCTGAAAATGGTCTCTTTTATCTATGCTTCGGAAACTCGGCAATAAGGATATCATTCTCTAGCTCACAAACCAGAGGAATGTCATCAACTCTACTCTCCGACATAGTAAAATTATTTTTCTTGGGAGGGCCAAATAAAATTTGGTAATAAGAGGTTATGTGTTATTTAACTCGGCCTCATTCTTTATGATCTTATTATTTGCTTCCAACCGGAAAATCCTAGTCTTCCTATGCTTACCATTAGCAATGAGGTGGAAGTACTGAGTGTTGTTATCGCCTTGTAAATGTTCTTTAGTTTTTTTTATCTTTGGAACCAGGCTATTTCTTTTTCTCTCAACAAATGAGAGATTCTATCTTTCATATAGCGAAGCAAATCATGTTCATGTGAGGAAAGAACAGAATGTGATAGCCTTTTTTCCCTTTTTTTTGCCTTTAATGTGTTTGGCCTATCCCCTCAAGAATTGGCGTGTACGCCTGATCTTGTATTGCCATCCTTGTAAAGAATTCGTGCCCTTATTCTCACTATTCCAAACATAGGTTACTTGTTCATAAAAACCATCTCTAATGAGCCTGCTTATTTCAAACTAGAAAGGCCATTGATTACCTCAAAAAAACAGGGTCCCTGAATCTAGAAGCAAAGGGATATGATTTGAAATTTCTCTCGTGAAAGATATTCACAAAGTAAGAGCTTTATTTTCGAAGATAAGCTGAGGCCCCGTTTGGCAGAGCTCCCAGAGATGCTTCTCTGCTGAATTCAGTAGGAGCTCTGCTAAACAATTTTTCAGAGAGAAGTGATTCTCTGTTGATTCTGTGAAGTGATTCTCTAAAATAAACTAGCAGGCTGAGAGCTGAAAAAGTAGCTTCTCTGATTCTATAAAGTGATTCTCCATCATGATTTTAAGAGTTTACGATAAAGAATCAAAGAGAATCACTTTTAGCTACAGAATTCACTTCCCTCAAAGAATCAGCTTCCTCAAAAAATCAGAATCAGATAGAGCTCTACCAAACATGACTTAAAGGCCTCATTTGTTTCGGCTTCAGTAGGGTCTGGCTTGCTTCGGCTCCTTGTGCACTATTGAACATTGTTGAGTAATTGTAGCAAAAAAATGCCTTTGACTCCTGTAAGCCTAAAATGAACCATGGATACGGGGAGAAGGATGTACTTGGTTTCATGGCTAACTTTGAGTCTGGTGAGAATCTAGTCTGGGCAATTTTAGCCTGCTCCCACCAAGCCACCCCTTGTTTGTTTGATGAAAAAAAGTTTATAACCTCTCAACTATTCAGGACGGACTACTTCACCCTCAAACTATAAAACTGG